TGAAATTTTGATTGGAATAGCATTGAATCTGTATATTGCTTTTGGTAGGATGGCCATTTTAATAATGTTTATTCTTCCAATCCATGAGCAGGGGATGTCTTTCCATTTCTTTGTGTCTTCTTCTATTTCTTTTAACAGTGTTTTATAGTTTTCTTTGTATAGGTCCTTTACCTCTTTTGTTAGATTTATTCCCAAATATTTGATTTTTTTTTTGTTTCGATAATAAAAGGGATTTTTTTTTTATTTCTTCTTCAGATTTATTGTTCGTGTATAGGAAGGCTACTGACTTTTGCGTGTTGATTTTGTATCCTGCCACTTTACTGAACTGATTGATGAGTTGAATTAGTTTTTCTGTGGAGTTTTTGGGGTTCTCTATGTATATTATCATGTCATCTGCAAATAGTGATAGTTTGACTTCTTCTTTTCCTATTTGGATTCCTTGTATGTCTTTCTCTTGTCTTATTGCTCTGGCTAGGACTTCCGGTATTATATTGAAAAGCAGTGGTGAGAGTGGACATCCTTGTCTTGTTCCAGATCTTAATGGAATTGCTTTCAGCTTTTCACCATTGAGAATGATACTGGCTGTTGGCTTGTCATAGGTGGCCTTTATGATGTTGTGGTATGTTCCTTGTATCCCAAGAATTTCAAGGGCTTTTATCATGAATGGGTGTTGCACTTTGTCGAAAGCTTTCTCAGCATCGATTGATATTATCATATGGTTTTTATATTTCTTTTTGTTGATGTGTTGGATAACGTTGATTGATTTTCGGATGTTGAACCATCCTTGTGTCCCTGGAATGAATCCTACTTGGTCGTGGTGAATTATCTTATGGATACATTGTTGGATTCTGATAGCTAAAATTTTATTGAGGATTTTTGCGTCAGTGTTCTTTAGGGAGATTGGCCTGTAGTTTTCCTTTTTTGTGTTGTCCTTGTTCGGTTTTGGTATTAGTGTAATGTTGGCTTCATAGAACGTGTTGGTATTGTCCCTTCCTTCTCAATTTTTTGGAAGAGTTTGTGAAGGATAGGCACTAATTCGTCTCTGAATGTTTGGTAGAATTCATTTGTAAATCCATCAGGTCCTGGGCTTTTGTTTTTGGGGAGGTTTTTGATTACCATTTCAATTTCGCTGCTTGTAATTGGTCTGTTAAGGTGTTCTATTTCTTCTTTATCTAGCTTTGGGTGATTGTAGAGTTGTAGGAATTTGTCCATCTCCTCTAGATTGTTGAACTTGTTTCCATATAACTGTTCATAGTAGTTACTGATTATTCTTTTGATTTCTGCTGTGTCCGTTGTGATTTCTCCTCTTTCATTTCTGATCCTGTTTATTTGTGCTTTCTCCCTTTTTTCCTTTGTAAGCCTGGCTAGGGGTTTGTCTATTTTATTGATTTTTTTCGAAGAACCAGCTCTTGGTTTCATTGATCTTTTGGATTGTTTTTTCAGTTTCGATTTCATTCATTTCTGCTTTGGTTTTTATTATTTCTTTTCTTCTACTGGTTTGGGTTTTTTTTTGTTGTTTTTCTAGATCTTTGAGCTTCGAGATTAGGTTGTTTCTTTGAGTTCTTTCTTGTTTCTTGATGTGAGCTTCTATTGCTATATATTTTCCTCTTATTACTGCTTTTGCTGCATCCCATACATTTAGGATATTGGTGTCCTCCTTGTCATTCAATTCAAAGAATTTTTTAATTTCTTCTTTGAGCTCTTCATTAGTCCAGTGGTCTTTCAGTAGTGTGGTTTTTAATCTCCAGGAGGTAGGAAAGTTCCTTGCCTTCTTTTTATGGTTTATTTCTAGTTTGATGCCTTCATGGTCAGAAAAGATGGTTGGTATGATTTCAATCTTGGTGTATCTGTTGATGTTTGTCTTGTGCCGCAGTATGTGGTCGATCCTGGAGAATGATCCATGTGCACTTGAGAAAAATGTGTACTCCGTTTTTTGGGGGGTTTAGTGTTCTATAGATGTCTGTTAAGCCCAAATGCTCTAGGTCCTTATTTAGAGCTTCAGTTTCTTTACTTATTTTTTGTCTTGTTGATCTATCCATTGTTGATAGTGGTGTGTTGAAGTCTCCCACTACATATATGTTTTCTCTGATGTCTGTTTTCAGAGATGACAACAGTTGTCTGATATATTTTGGTGCTCCTTCGTTTGGTGAGTATATGTTAATGAGTGTTATTTCATCTTGAAGTATTGTCCCTTGATCATAATGTAGTGACCATTAAGGTCTCTTTTTATTTTTCTGAGTTTGAAATCTGTTTTATCTGATATAAGTATAGCTGTTCCTGCTTTCTTTTTTGGTCCATTTGCTTGTAGGATTGTTTTCCATCCTTTGACTTTGAGTCTATTTTTATCTTTTGTAGCTAAATGTGTTTCCTGGAGACAGCAAAAGTTTGGGTTTTGTTTCTTAATCCAGGCTGCAACTCTGTGTCTTTTTATTGAAGAGTTTAGTCCATTTACATTTAGAGTTAATATTGATATGTTAGCATCTGTATTTGACATTGTGTTTGTCTTTCCTTTGATTTTATTTATTTATTCTTTTAATACCTTTTTTTTATTATTTATTTTTTTGGGGGGCTCTCCCCCTAAGTTGGAGAATAAGACAAGATGTCTCTTTTCTCAGCTCTATTAAAGATGTACTAAAAGTCCCAGCTATGCAAAAAACAAGAAAAGGAAATAAAGTTATACAGGTTGAGAAAAAAATAAAAAACATCTTTATTTGTCTATGTGGAAAATGCCTAAAATACCAACAGGAAAAAAAAAACCACCTTGGTACTAAATGATTACAGCAAGGTTGCATGGCTGAGGGCTAATACACAAAAGTCAATAGATTCTTATGCAACAGCAAAAAAACTGGAATTTGAAATAAAAAAATACATTAACATTAACATAACAAAATTAAATACTTCATTTATAAACCTAGCAAAAAATATGTATAAAATCTATATGAAGAAAGCTACAAAACTCTTATGAAAGAAATCAAGGGAGATCCAAAATTAATGAAAAGATTGTCATTTTCATGGGGAGCAAGACATTATTAAGATGTCAATTTTTCCCAACTTGATTTATAGATTCAGTGAAATTCCAAGTTATTTTGCGGATATCAGAAAGTCAATTTTAAAGTTTATACAGAAAGGGAAACAAACAAACAAAAAGCCCAAAATAACTAATTCAGTACTAGAAAAGAACAAATTTGGAGACTAACACTATCTAATATCAAGCTTTATTTACTATAAAACTACAGTAATAAAGACAGTGTGAGATGGGTAAAAAAATAAACGAATCAATGGAAAAGAATAGAGAGCAGAAATAGACACAAATACAGTTAACTGATCTTTGAAAAAAAAAAAAAAAGGATAGCCTTGTCACCAAATGGTGCTGGAGCCTCTGGTATGTCACTATTAAGTAGTATGTTAATTTAGGATTTTTGTTAAATATTTTTTAACTGAAGAAGCTGTCCTTTATTCCTAGTTTGCTGAGAGTTTTTATCATAATGGGTGTTCAGTTTTGTTATATGCTTTGTCAGTATCTTGTGATATAATTATATATAGATTTTTCTTCTTCTATATCCTGATTGATGATCATGATGAATTCCACTAATCAGTTACTAAATTTCTAACCTGTCTTTAGGTCATGATGTATAATTTTACATTATTGGATTTGATTTGCTAATATTTTATTGGGGATTTTTGCATCTAAGCTGAGGGGAGCTATAGGTCTATAATTTTCTTTTCTGTTGATACTGGTTTTGAGGTTAGGGTGATGCTGGCCTTACAGCATGATTTAGGAAGTTCTTCTATATTTGGAAGAGGTTTTACAAGAACTGTTAATATTTCTTATTTAGATGTTTGATAGGATTCTCCAGTGAAACCTCTGGGTCTTAAATTTTCTGTTTTGGAAAGATTGTCCAAAACATTAATATATGTAGGCCTATGCAGATGATCTGTTTCTCCTAGTGTGAGTTTTGGTAGATTGCCTTTGAAAGAATTGGTCCATTTCACCTAAGTTATCAAATTTATGGGCATAGAGTTATTTATAGTATTCTTTAATATCTTAAAGTCCACAGGAGCAGTTGCGATGACTGCTCTTTCATTCCTCATATTCGTAATTACTGTCTTCCCCCCACCCCCAAAGAATTGGCTTTCTGTCTCATTAATTTTATAATTTTCTGCATTTAATTTATTCTCTTTATTGCTCACTAACTTCTTGAATATGTAGATATATTTATTTTGCCCAGTTTGAGAAGTTTTGACCATTACTTCTGTGAGTGCTTTTCTACTCCTGCCCTCTTTCTCCTTTCCTCCCTGCACTTGATACAAATGTTAGATCTTTGCTGTAATTTCATGACCATGAGGCTCTATTTGTATTTTTTAGTCTATTTCTTTCTGTTGTTTAGATTGGGCAATTCCTATTGTTATATCTTCCAGGTTAAAAATTCTTTTCTCTATCGCTATGTTCTGTGGTTGAGCTCATTCACTGAGTTTTTATTCCAGTTATTTTCAGTAAATTTTAAGTAAATATCACTTCTTTATGTATCTACTATTTCTTTATCAGAACTTTCTATTTCTTTGCCAAGTGTTTTATTTCTTCTTCCTTTATTTGAAACATGCTTTTTAGTTCTGTGGGCATATTTTCCATTCTCCAGGTATATACCCAGGAGTGGCATTGCTGGATCCTATGGTACTTGATATTTCACTTTTTGAGAACTTCCATTTCTTTTTGTCCTATTATACTGTGATGTCAATAAAGAGATCTAGAATATTTTGCAAGGTCTTTGGAGTTCTTAGAAAGAACTGTCCCTAGACTTTAGATTTCTTTACACTCTTATTCCTTGTTAATCTGTGTTGTTGCCACCAAAATGACAGGTGCCAGTTTTAAGTTACTGATTAGAAATTAGATGAATATTAAAGAGCTAAACGATTGCTCATTTTGAAATACTATGAATGTAGTTATTCATAGTTGTGACTTATATATTCATAAATTTACTTTTGGATTATTTTTAATTTAGAAAAAAGAAAGTGAGTGCCTGCATTTAAGAATTTTGGTGCTTCGAAATGAACTGGAAAGACAGAAGAAAGCTTTGGGACGGGAGGTGGAATTATTGCATAAACAACAAATTGCATTACAGGACAAAGGTGAGTAAAAACACCATACAGACTTACGTCACTTTCAGTAGTTTTATTTTCTTCTTCATAGGTGGCAATAGTTGTCTTTTTATAAATGTGTTTATGTAGTTCTCTTTACTGTTTTGAAATCCTTTGAAATTGGTACATACAGAAATTGGTACATACAGAAAGGTGTGCATGAGCACACACACAGAGCACACATTTTCAAAATGAACACACCTAAATAGCGTTACCAGGAACCCAGAACCTCAACAGTTTTCCTTGTGCTCCATTCCATTCAGTAGCTCTCCAGCTAGGCTAACCTGTACCTTGACTTGCTATACCAAATATTAGTCTTACCTAATTCTGATCTATTTACTAATAGAATCATATAGATGTACAAATGATGTTTGTTCAGCATTTTGTTTTAAGGTTTATCCTTACTAGTGTGTAATACAGTCTTAGACCATTCAGACTGCTAGTGGTATTCCATTGTATGAATATGAATTTATTTATTTTTGCTGTTGACTTTTAAGTGATTTTTAGTTTGGGACTGAAAAATAATGCTTTTGTGGATGTTCGGATACGTGTTTCTTAGTGACAATTTTTTTTTAAGATTCATTTACTTATGCCTACAAGAACTGGGGTACAGGCCAGAGGTGTGGGAGGTGAGAGGATTCACCAGCTACAAAGCAGGGAACAGAACAGGCAGAGAGACTGAAGTATACTGCTGAGGGGAGCAGCAGGCGAGTCAGGAGAGGTCTGCTACACCATGTGGGTAGCTCCCTGACCTGCTAGGATCAAACTCGTAAGGACTGGGGTCTAGGCTAGGTGTGCAGGGGGTCAGAGGATTCACCAGAGACAGAGTGGGAGCAGAACAGGCAGATCTACTGAAATACACTGCTGAGGGGAACAGCAGGCGAGACAGGAGAGGTCTCCTGCGCCGTGTGGGTTAGCTCCCTGGCTGGGGATCGAACTCATGTCACAGTGAGTTGATAGCTTGATAGCGCTGAGATTTTAACCCCTGCACCAGTAGGGAGGCCCCTTAATGGTGATTTTTAATACATTTCTCTTGGCTATAAACCTAAGAGCAAAAATGCAGACATAGAATACACATCTCTTCAGTTTTAGTGGATTGTGTCCTAAAGTTTTCCAAAATGGTTATGCCAGTTTATGCCCTTTACATCTGGCAGTGTATTGGATCTCTTGTTCCATCTATACTGTTTTATTTTCTCTCGTGTTATTATTGGTATTGATATTTGTTAAAGTTCTTCAACTTAGTTCTTTAGTTTCAGGCCTATAACAATGATTCAACATTTGTGTTCATTGTGAAATGATCATCACAATGAGTCTATTGTGACACCATCTTTTCTTAGTATTTGGTACTTTGTGTTTTTTGGTTTTTTTGTTTGTTTGTTTAGCCTTTCTGGTGGGTATATTGTGGTATCTCCTTGCAGTTTTAATTTTGATTTCTTTAAAAACTGATGAATTTGAACACTGTTCCATGTGTTTTATACTGATTGGGATACTCTCTTTGTGAAGTACAATCCATTGATATCTTCCACTTTATAAAAATTGGTGTGACAAAATTTTTTTAATAGGAATTCTTTATGTATTATGGATATGGATTCTTTGAAGTATACAGTACATATATGTATTATACTCCTGTGACTTGCTAATTCATACTTTAGTAATATCCTCACATGAACATAAGTACCATTTTTCAGCCTGTTCTTTTACATTTAAGACTTTTTGTCTCCAGTTTAAGAAATAATTGCCTATCTTAATGTCATGCAGATGTTCTTCTGTGTTTTAAACACTTTACTATTTCTTTTTATGTCTGTAATTCATCAGAAATTGATTTTTTGTGTATGATGTGAAAGGTAAGAGTCAAGGTGTGCTTTATTCTTTTCATAGTCAATTGATCCAGCACCATTTTTTGAAAACCATAATTTTATTATGCTGCAGTAACACTTTTCATCAATCAGGTGACTATATACCTGCATGTCTGTCATAGGATGTCCTGTTTGGTATCATGGATCTTTCTGCCCATTCTTTTGCCATTATCTTACCGTTTTATTTTCTCTCATTTTATTATTGGTCTTGATATTTGTTAAAGTTCTTTAACTTAGTTCTTTTTTAGTTTCAGACCTATAGCAAAGATTCACAGTTGTATACATTGTGAAATGATGATCACAATGAGTCTATTGTGACACCATCTTTTCTTAGCAGCTTTCAGATTTGCAGTGCTGTATTATTGATAGCTCCTTGACTTGTCTACTTCATAAATGGATATTTGTACCTCTTGTTCCACTTCACCCATTTGCCTCTCTTTCAACCCACCTTCCCTCTATGAGCCACTGATTTGTTTTCTGTCTCTTTGATTTTAGTTTCGTTTTATTTATTTTTTCTTAGGATTCTATATATAACTGATATCATACAAGTATTGCTTCTCTGATTTAACATAATACCTTAAGATCTAGTTTTGATGTCACAAATGGTAATATATTTATTTCTTTTTCACATTTAAGTAGTTTTCCTGTATGTGCATTTATGAAAAAATGCCATATATACACATGTAATATCGTCACTATTAAATCATCAATCGAAACTCACATTACTTTCATAGTCTGGCCATTGTAAATAATGCTGCAATGCACATGGGAATGCTTATAGTTTTTCAAGTTAATTTTTGTTTTCTTTGTGTAAACAAAGACAACAAATGATAATCTTAAATATAAAAGGGAAGTCTCTGATAAATGGTGCTTATGTTCATGTGAAGGTATTACTAAAGTACGAATTAGCAAGTCACAGGAGTATAATACATATATTTACTGTATATTTCAAACAAAGAATCCATATCCATAATATATATAATATACATATATACCCAGAAGTAGAACTGCTGAGTCATATAGTAGTTCTATTTTCAATTTCTTGAAGAATTTACAGACTGTTTGTTAAAGTAGCTATACCAATTTACATTCTTAGCAACAGTGCATGAGAATTCCTTTTCTCCACAACTTCACCAACTTGTTGTCTTTTTGATGATAGGCATTCTGATAGATGAGGTATTAATTTTATTGTGGTTTTGATTTGCATCATCTTGATGATTAGTAATATTGAGCATTATTTCGTGTACCTGTTGGCCTTGTCTTCTTTGGGAAAATGTCTGTTCAGTGCCTATACCAATTTTTTCTTTAAAAAATTGAGTTATATGACATTCTTTTATTTTAGATATTAAACCTTTATCATATATATAAAACTTATGATTATCATCTCCCATTCAATAGGTTGTCTTTTTGTTTTGTTGATGGTTTCCTTCACTGTACCCACTGTACAGAAACTTTTTAGTTTGATTTAGTGCTATTTGTATAATTTTTCTTTTGTTGCTCTTGCCTTTGGAGTCAAATCCAGAAAAACATCACCAAGACTGGTATCTAAGAGCTTACTATGTATGTTTTTCTTATAGAATTGTAAGAATTAACTTTTGTATGTGATGTAAGATAGTGATCCCATTTTATTCTTTTGCTTGTGATTGTTGAGTTTTCCCAACACCATTTATTAAGAAGACTATCTTTTCCCTAGTATATATTCATGCTGCCACTTTCCTTAATAAATTGACTCTATTTTTGTGTTTTCATTTCTTGGCTGTCTATTCTGTGCCATTGTTATAGGTATATGCTTTAATGACAGCACCACACTGTTTTAATTATTGTAGTTTTGTAATTGTTTTAAATCAGGTGACTTGGGACATTCAGCTTTGTTCTTCTTTCTCAAGATTTCTTTAGTTATTCAGGGTCTATTGTATTTCCATACAAATTTTAAAATCATTTGCTCTATATCTATGAAAAATGCCATTGGGACTTTGATACAGATTGCATTGAATCTGTAGATTGCTTTGAGTCATGGACATTTTAACAATATTAATTCTTCTGATCCATGGGCATGAAATATCTTTTTCTATTTCTTTGTGTCTTCAGTTTCTTTCATCAGTGTATTATAGTTTCTGTGGTACAGGTCTTTCATTTCCTTGGTTAAATTTATTCATAGGTATTTTATTCTTTCTGATGCAATTGTAAGTGATTCTGTTTTCTTAATTTCCTTTCTGATAGTTCCTTGTTAGTTCATTGTAGCTGGAGTGTAATTTGTTAGGAAGAGAGTAGTATGAGATGGGATTGGAATGAGAAGTAATTTAGAGCAGAAATGAAGATGTTTGCCCTTTCTGTTGAACTGGAGAGGAGGCTAAGAAAATGACACAAGGGCAAGGGAGTTTACATGTTAGGTAGTGGATAGGATCTGCCTGTTCTATTTAAACACTAAAATTAAGTCTGACTTTCTTAGTTGTCAGGCCAATTGTATAGTCATGAATGGTATCATGTGCTTTCCACTGCCTGCTATATAGAAGATATCAGTGCTTTAGGGAGAAAAAAAATCTTCTCTTGGCACTGAATTCCAAGAGGAATTTAGCATGTAGTTTCTAATGTGCAAGATATTAAATATCATAATGAAATACAGTCAATTGCAATTTTGCTAAATTATAGCAAGAAATATCTATTAACCCTTGAGAAGGGCAGCATCATAAATCATAGCACAGAAAAGGCATTTCTGCAGGGAGGGAAAGTAAAAAAGTCAAAGTATATTGCTTCTTGCTTATCTGGCTTAATGTAGAAAACCCAGAAGAACGGCAGTTTATTGGTTTTAACTAATTTTGACAGAAGCTGGCCATTGGCCAGAATGAGACCAAACTCTCTGGTGAGAGAGAGCCTAAAGAATCTGCATTTTGTTTGGTTGATGGAAGCAAGATTCATGTTCTTTGGCTATTAGATTTATAGGAGACAGCATTGACATTTGGTTATTAAAACTAACGTGCCTGACTTGAGTTCTTGCTGAACAGAGGGCCATCTTAATAGACTGTAACACTGGTATATGTATGAACAGGGCAAAACATTTCAGAGAGTGCTTTTGAACATACATTTGCTTGCCTGCATCTCCATGACTTCTGCTGAGGATGTGGAGTGGTAAAAGAAGCTTTGCCTTCACCTTAACATGAGAAAGCTGAATAATATACAAAATCATAACTTGTCTTCAATCTATCAGAGAGATTAGACTTTAGGGCAACCAAAATATCCTGGATGTAAGGAAAAACAGGCATCTCTAAGTGGAGACCAAATCTGAGAATTGAGTTACCAGAGCATGGAGGGAAGTTAGGGCCACTGTATAAGAAGGTAAAATAGTTCAAGTACAATTTTTAAAAAATTGTTATTACCAAGTATAGGATACTGCGAGTCTATGGCAGATAAAAAGTATTTCACACCTACTCACAGTTTATTCTACATGAACCTACATTGGGTTTTCATAACAAAGATTGCAATCAAGGAAGAAAATTACAGAAAACCACTTTCAGTGATGTTGGTCTGGAGGAGGTGAGTGGATGCTATTTTAAGAGAAGTGTAACCCTTCTTCCTTAAGAACAAAAGTGTTAAACTTTGAGGGGACGAGCTGCAAACCCAATAGTCCTTAGGGTGTAAGTGAAAATCTGTTTTTAATGAAGGAAGAAAAAGAAAAATACCGCTACTGTTAGTTGAAGAAAACTGTGTTGGGTCTGATTGATCAGAATTTTCCTATGTCTAGGAAAGCGGGACAGTATCACTGAGAAAACCTAACTTGAACTCTACGGAGTCAGGGTGTCCCTGCTCAACCAGGACTACAGCAGAATCCCTTACTTTTCTCCCTAGTCAGGCTAAAAAGCATGAAATAACAAGCCACAGAGTTTACCACTTGAGGAGAGGCAAGAACATGAGGAGACACCCTTATTTAGGTGCAGGTACATAGGAAATAACCTAATTCTGAGAACAGAGCAAGATCATTGAGAAAAAACCAACAGCAAACCATCTCTACCATCACCAGCCCACAACAGGAAAAATTATAGGAAAATTGAAGAGTGTGGTGCACTGAAAACAGTCATGGCAACAGCAAAACCCAAAACCAGCTCAGTTCCTGATTGTTTTGTCTCAGCCCCCCAAATTAACATAAGAAGAGGCATACCCTTATCATTCCTGTTTTCTAGCAGGTGATGTTCAACAGTAAGAATTTTTGAGACAAAAAAACTGGAACAAAACAAAATCTTCATGCCACCATTACCACTTCCACCACCAAGAAAATGTTGTCAAGAGAAGTTAACAGAAAAAAATTCAGAAATGACTCAAATGTTAGGACTATCAGAGAGGAAATTTAAAGCATTTGATGCTTGTATTAGAAAAGAAGAGAGGTTCCCAATCAATAATATGAGCTTATAACCTTAACAATTAGAAAAGATAACCAAATTAAACCCAAATTAAGCAGAAAGGAATAACAAATTACATGAATCATTGAAATTGAAAAAAAAAGTAGAGAATCAAGGTATTCTTGGAGAAGATTATTAAAATTGATCAGCCTCAACCCAGACTAAGTAAATAAGTGAGAAAGCACAAATTAATAGTATTAGGAGTGAGAGTGGGAACATCACTAGAAATCCTACAGAAATTAAAATAACAAAGTAGTATTTTAAATACTACATGATAACATGTCACAAGGACACTGGAGCAAAACTGTAGAAAGTTCCACCAGCCAAATCTGGAGCCACTTGAGTACTAAAATAACTACATATAGTAATGAACTGACTATCATTGAAAAATAAGAAGCAATCCATAATATTTATTGATAATACAGGGCTAATGGATCAGGGAGGGCTCTTTCTTCAGAAGAATGCTGAGTACTGACTGATAAATATGGAGAGAGTACTGAAGTTGGAATATTAGTTTGCATCTTCAGATTAAAGATTAAATCAAGCAGAATATACCAACTGATGCTAAGTCTAGGGAGAAATTTAGATGAGTGCGAGAATGTATATATAGTCTTAAAGATGAACATCATTGCTTTTATGTTTAATATTCTTAGAAGGACATATCATCAATCATGTAGTGTTCAGGCTAGTAATACATAATCTGAACAACATCTAAAGAAATGGAACAAATCATTGCTTCAATGTTTTTATTCCTTGTGATGTGACCTTTGGAATTTAGATTGAATTTTCTGAGGTATCTTTAAATACTTCTTTCCTATATCAGTCTAACTAAATCAAATTCATGCAGTTTTGTTCCAGAGTCCACCCTATAACCACTAAATTATATTATTGTTTGACAGAAAAATTAACCTTATGTTTTAGAGAGATGACTTTAGACATTTATCTAAAAGTCTTTGTTCTGATAAAGCCTATAGGAAACCGTAGCCCCTCAAATGACCCTTTTTTGGGTTTAGGTCTACTCTTTTATTTATTTACTTATTTTGGAGATAATTTCAGACTTATAGAAAAATTACAGAATATATATGCTGAAAACACTTATGGTCTTAACCCTGAGTTACTTACTGTTAACATTTTACCCATCAGCTGCCTACTTTACTTTTCTAAGTTTAATTTCTCTTTAGTCACTTTGCAAAATTTTTTTTCTTTTGAGTATATAATATATCCTGAAGACTCTTCAGAACTGAGGAGGGTATATACATTTGCATTTTGAAGCCCAAATGTGTTTTGTCCTTGTTTTTAGTTTCACTGGTAGAGTTAAGACAACTTATGAAGAATAATATTGCAGATTTCTTTATTGGTGGGAAAATTCATATGCTTTTGGCAAAAGTACAGAGGGTAGAGAGTGAAGATTGTCAACCTAAATGTCTTCTGAAATCATTTGAGTGCGAAGATTTGAGGTAGAAATTATAACAAGGGGCTAAAGAAAATTATGTGGTGTTCTTTCATTGAGTTTTGTTTTGGGGATAGAATCACCAACTCATTAGTTATTTAGTATAGTTGATAGAGAAGAGTAGAGTGTTTATAAATATGTTGATAAAATTGCTTAGGTTGGTAAAATTAGTGATAAGTTCCAAATATAATTAGGTTAATTAACCTACTTCTTTTTCCTCTCTATAGGACATGCACAGAAGAGTTTAGGGTACCTTTTCCTATTGTAGATCACAGTTTATTTAACTAATGTTCTTTGTAAGATCTAGAACTGAAAGTTTGGGGATTAAGACTGTTTCTCTGTCATATAGAATCTCTGAACTTACCACGCCTGGATTTTCAGAAACTTAGAAGTTCTCATTTTCTTCAATATAAGAATTTTATGATCATGTAAATGGAAATGAAAGGTATAAAAGTTGATGTAAATACAAAAAATCAGGCATATAAACATGAATATTAATCACTACAATACTAAAAGCAAATACTTAAAGGAAATGAAATATTCTGTAATGGATTAGAATAGAACTTATCATTTAAAATGTAGAATAAATAATTTATATCCATGGAGTTGAGTTTTACGTAGTAATAAAATACTATAACTCAGACTGTCAACATATAGACATGCTTGTGACATAATATGGAAAAATCAGAATATACATTTCCTGTATACTATGATTGTGACTAAAACTACTTATATGTATGAACAAGATGAAAGTTCATAAAAAGCGACTTATATTTATGAAGACATATTATAGTAGTCAATGCAGGTAATTTTTCCTGCTCTACTTTATACTGCTCTTTTTTTATACTTTAAAGTAATAAAAGTAATGTTATATAGCATTTGTGATTGAAAAGAAATTAACTGCTTTTAAAAAAGCTCTGTTATTTTTCAGAGCGGTTTATATTCATAGCAAAATTGAGAAGATGGTATAAAGATTTTCCATATGCCCCCACCCCACCCCACATGTATTTCCTCCCCCATTACCAACATCTCCCACCAAAGCTGTACATGGGTTATATTTGATGAAACTTTAGTGAATTGTCATTAACACCCAGGATTCATAAGGTGTCCCTTCCCCCTTTAAATGAAGTTATCTGAATTATAAATTCTCATCAGGGTTTCCTGGTCTGCAATCCAGAATTCTGAAGGCAAAGGCTCTTAAGACTTTTTCTCTTGTTTTCCTGCTGGAGGTTGAACTTGTGTAAAAACTAAACCAGTAACAGTTTATTCTAGTTAATCACCCTGGGCCACCCACCCACTTTACCTTTTAACTATTTTCTTCTCACAGTCAGGGAACTGGGCTCAGCATATTTGGTTGTGATTGAACAGTCTGTCTTCCATGTAACATCTGGAATTGTCTCCTTTGATCCCTCTTTAGGAAGTGCGTTTTCCACTGAGCATCTCAAACTTCAGCTCCAGAAGGAATCCCTAAATGAGCTGAGGAAGGAATGTACTGCAAAAAGGTAAATACAAAACAAGGAATAATTTTTATAAATTTTGAGTTTACTTTGAAAATAGGATTTGGAAATAAGCATTCTTTAAAATCTGCTGGTATTTGTATTTATTACACATATGTTAGTGCCACATTCATTTATTCAAAAAATACTTTCTAAGTGTCTACTGAAAAAAAGTGTGTGCTGAAAACAAAAAAAACAAACTTTTTTTTTTTTTTTTTTGGTTTTGTTTAGCATTTTTTAGAGGAATGTTGGTTGTGGAGTGAAAGATTTTAGCTACAGTTGCAGTGCAATTTATTGAAAGTAATTTGAAAGTAAAACAATTAACATGAGTTTTCAAGAGAAGGAAAAAATATGGCAAAACTAATAGTTTAAGAGGAGAGGTCTGATAGCAATAAAGGAGATAAATTGGAAATTTTCTGTCATTTTCTGTTAGAGATAGTTAAAAAAAGCTTCTAGTATAAATTCATAATCAGCAAGTTGAATACTGCTGTTCTGGTTTTCAAACAGCACCATGACTTAAAAATGTTTGAATCTTCTCTGACTGTCTTCTACATGTAGAGTTTATAGGGTTTTTTTCAGTAATTTCTTCAGACTTACTCCCGTTTAGTGTTAGCTCATTTGGATTACCTCAACAGTTTGTAGATTATCTCTCTCAACGCTGGTCTCTCCTTTTTTCCAATTCCTCTCCCATATTGCTTTCAGACTTTTGCTCTTAAAATATTAGTTTTGCCAAATAAATTTTTCAAATTTTCAAATAAATTTTTCAAATAAATTTTCAAATAAATTTTTCAAATAAATTTACTTTCAAATAAATTTCAAATAAATTTCAAATAAATTTACTTTCAATAAATTGCACTGCAACTGTAGCTAATATCTTTTACTCCACAACCAACATTCCTCTAAAAAGTGCTAAATAAAACCCCCCAAAAAAAACTTTTTTTTTTTTTTTCAGCACACACATAATTTGTTGCCAACTTTGTTCTTTTCCTCATCTTCACTCACTTTTCCTGGAAAATCATCCCATCCTGCATTTTGCTTCAAGGAACTTTAGCAATTGAGGATTCACAAATGGTAGGCCTGGAAAGAACTTTCAAGATCATCTAGTGTAGTCCTCTGAGTTTGCAGATAGGAAAGCAAGGTGCTGAAAGTTACTCTTTTTTTGTCCAGCTCACAAGGAAAGGAAGAATACATTATACTGCTAATTTTACATTAGACTTTGATCACAGGTTCTCCATAATTACCTTTTTTTCTTAAATTGTAAATACAGTTCAGCTGGTAATTTTGTTTTATGGATATTTTATCTGTTGGTCATATTTCTGAAGTAGTTCAAGACAGAAGCTGCATATCATGCCCCAACTTTTTGCTCACTTCTTTTTATTCATATTATTTTTCTAACTTGACAACAGGTTATTTTCAAGGTAGTTGTGACATGTAAATGTGAGGTAAAAATAGAATGCTTTTTTGAGGAAACACTATTTCCTGAAATCAAATCAGTCTCTCATTGGAAGAGACCTTGGTTAGCTTAACCAGCCTTTTAAAATTTTTTTTCCTTATTTGTAGAATGGGTGTGATAATACCAACCTATTTGAGTTGTTATTATAATTTAATAAAGTCTTTTGTAAAGTTCCTGGCACCTAATGATAGGTGTTCAGTCAGTGATAATTTATACCCTTTGTATCAGTACGGTGCTGGACACGCATGAGGCCTCAATGTATAGTTTAGCTTATTGACAGTATTTAGAGATAGGTCAAGGACTAGTGATAGCTATTATTCTTGCCTATACTTCTGAGTTTTTGTGGCCTTCTACAAACCATTTAATCTTCCTCTATCAGTTTTGTGGAAATAAATGTTGTAAAGCATACAAGTATATATTTTTTAAACAACTGTGCTTTTTTTCTTTCCTCCACAGAGAACTTTTTCTGAAGACTAATGCACAGTTGACAATTCGTTGCAGGCAATTACTCTCTGAGCTTTCCTACATTTATCCTATTGATTTGGTAAGTTTCAAATTTTCTTTAAATAGTTTCTTTTTAAAAAGATGATTGCCATTTAAAACTTCCTCTCAGTGGAAAATCCTCATTTCTCTAATCTTTATCATATCCTGTCATGATTCATTCAGAAACTAGTATCTCTATAAAAAATAAATTTAGACTTAGTTGTCATTAGGTCCCACCATTTGATTTTTATATCAATTTGATGGTGGCATGTACTCATCTTCATAGGAAATGATACCAGATTATTTCTTGTTTTTTTGGGATCTTTTTGCTCAACTAGATTATCCACTATCACCATTCCTGACATATGTGTACAGATACATGTGCACACCTTAAAAAATTTAACTGCTAATTAATTTATATTTATTGATATTTCTGAAGATATTTGTGGGGTAACTGTCAGGATGTTAAATTTTTAAATCTAACTTCTTAGAATAAACAGTAAAATTTCAGTTAAAAAAAAAGGATTGTCTAGGGTTCTTTTTAAGAAAACCAAATATGCTTATTTTAATAGTTTCATTTTCTTTTTAATGAAGAGATTTAAAAGACTAATAGGTTTTTCAGTTGCTCATATATTAAATTCCAATCAGTACATTTCATTTATAGCTATGAATTTGTCAAAGGATATTTTTATGATAAAAATTTACATGACTTTTCACTTGGACATGATGTTTTGAATGTTTATTTTATTAAAAATTTCAAATATGTGACTATAGAGAGAATAGTATAATGTATCATCATGTACTCATCATTCAGCTTCAATAATTATGATAATCTGATTCTAGGACAGTATTGTCTTTGAGTTAACATTGATCTGAATTCTTTAAGATTTGGCTTAGAATTTCTTTGCTTCATAAATAAAAATAATTTAAGATCATTCTTTGGTTATATTCACAGAATGATCATAAGGATTACTTTGTTTGTGGTGTTAAGTTGCCCAATTCTGAGGACTTCCAAGGTATTTTATTTCTTTTTTCTTATAAAGACTTGGTGTATTTAATTTTTGGGTATGTTGCAGGGGGAAAATAAGAGACACTTGAAATTTTGGTTTCCTAGCCTTCTGTCCCATCCCAATTCTAAATGTATAAATATATGTAGATAGATAAATATTGCATGGTGAGAGACTTAAGAGAATATTTGGTTTAATCTTGGAGGGAAAATTTATTGAATCTTATATTTGAAATTTAACAACAAATAGTTTTCATGTGGGCTTTAAGAGAATCAGAATACTAGCAATTTCTTCAGAATACCAGTAATTTCCCTATACTTTTGGTTTGATTTTTCGTAAAGGGTTTGTATGTGGTTGGAAGCAAAGAAGAACAAACATTAATCTGTTCTACTGTTATTTAGAAAGTCGTATTTCTGCTGGGGTGAAAAGTATTTGAAAATTTAGTTGTTATATCGTCATTTCTTTTCCCTTTGAATGAAACGAATTTTTACATTGAAGGTGTTATAGAGTAGGATTCATAGTAACTGCTATACTTAAAGAATATTTTATTTCTTCTAGTCTCCTTACCAATTTATCAAAGAAAATAATTTATTTAGCATATTTTTAAAGAGATTTTTATTGTTAACAAAGTAGGTTCCTTTCCCTTTGTCTAAACAGTGTTCTCAGTTCTGTTAAGTAGCTTTATCAATTATTCCCAAAGCTAGCATATTATTTGTTTGGAAGAAGTTGTTCAAAAGGAGAACATTACTAGTTTTAATTGGGACATTTTTCCATTTCCCTATTGAGAAAATATTGTTATTTGTGTTTCTTTAACATTTAAGATTTTTAATATATTTTCTCCTTTGGCCTTTACAGTCTTTACAAGTGTTTGGGATATGCTAGAAGGGTGATAAAATAGGATAGTAGAACCTATATTAAAGCCCTGGTTCTCCTTTTAGAAACCATGAAATTTGGAACCAGTCATCTAAGCTTTGAGTTCATTTCCTATTCGATTGTATGAACAGATTAATTCATGTTCTGCTTGAGGTCACAAAACACACAAAGGAAGCCTTTAAGGAAGGTATTATAAACTCATTTTATGATGGGTAAATAAGCTATTTTAGTGACTTGCTCAAGACCCCAAAAGCTAGGTAAAGAGCTGACTTGGATTTGATGGTTCCCATTTGTACAGTGTTACATTACCTCCACCCTCTGTCACTCACTCAGATGTGCTTTGGTGTTAATCTTAGGCAGAATCAGGGTATCTTGAAGCTCATAACACATCATTTTCCTTATTCATTCCATGAGTCTTATTCCTTATTCATTATTCCATTGAGTACTTTCATTCCTGCTCCAGATTCCAGAGCTAAAGAATATCTATTCATTGAAAAAATATTAGTTGAGCTTCTATATGCCAGGCACTGTGCTGGGTTTTGAAGATATAGTGACTGAAAAAGCAAAACTGTTCTGTCCTTTCATGCAACATACACACTGTTGTGGGAAGCAGTCAATACAAGAAAGTAAATATATACAACTATTTAATCATTCTATAATATGCTATTATAGAAAATAAGGGATGCTTACTTTAGATAAGTTGGTCTCTGAGGATAAACAATTAACAGAAGATTTCAAGGCTGAAAGTAACTAATGTGCTACAGCTAAGGGGAGGAGCAGTCCTTGGAAGAGTCAAAGGTCATGATGGAGGAATGGCCTTTATATATCTGAAAAACTCAGGGTAAAGGTTTGGGAGAAGATCTATGTATAATTTGGACAAATCATACATTCTTTCAGAGCTTCATTTCTCTACCTGTAAATGAGGTAATAGCTACATCTCACCTTGTTATAATGATTGAATAAGATAACATTTGAAAAGGCTTTCATATAGAAGGCACTCAATAATTGTATTTGGAATTAGTTGCAAGGAGGAAGGGAAGGAGGAGATAAGTGAAGGATTGGCAGAAAAGACCAGAGTAGGGCCTCCCCTGGTGGCACAGCGGTTGAGCGCTGGGCTGCGAAGCTGCCCACAGCCTCTGCAGTGCCGGTTCGATCCTGGCCGCCGGCGAGGGTCCCACATGGCACGCAGACCTCTCCTGCCGCCCCTCAGCAGTGTACTTCGTCAGTCTGCCTGTTCTGTTCCCCGCTCTGGCTCTGGTGAATTTTCTCACCCTCCCGCGCTTCTGACCGTACCTAGTGTCAACCACTATGGAGAGCTCTGTGGAGATTTCTGGACCTACTAAACATAGAGCTTCCATATGATCCAGCAATTCCACTCCTAGGTATTTACCCAAAGGACACAGAAACATCAATTCCTAAGAGCACCCGCACCCCTATGTTTATAGCAGCACTGTTTACAATAGCTAAGCTTTGGAAACAACCCAGATGCCCAAAAATAGATGACTGGATCAAGAAGATGTGGTACATGTACACCATGGAATATTACTTAGCATTCAAAAAAGATAAACACATGCAATTTGCAGCAACATGGATGGCGCTGGAAGGGATCATGCTCAGTGAAATAAGCCAGAAAGAAAAAGAAAAATACCGGATGGTCTCACTCATAGCAGGAATCTAGAAAACTTAAATAAGGGACCAGGAAAATGAATAACTATAAGAAAGTGAAAATCAAAATCAACAAACAACTATGAACCAGAGACACTCTGTGGGGGTTGGGGGGCGGGGAATGGAGGGATTGGGGTCAAAATAAGGGGGTTGCAATTATATGGGGAATATAAAAATAAAATTTATAAAAAAATAAGGGGACTATCCAGAAAATGCACGGTATGGAGTGATCATTAATAGACCTGTTTTGGTGCTTGAATAAATGCTCATCAAGAATACAAGCATCCATTAAAAAAAAAAGAAAGAAAAGAAAAGAAAAAAAAAGACCAGAGTAGTGAGCAAAGGGAAGGTTTATGTCAGAGGAACTAGGAGAGGCTGAAAGCTGGCCTAAGGAGAGGTTTTGTTTGTTTGTTTTTCTTTGAATTGTCAGTAGAGTGGGAAATCACTGATGGGCTTCAAGAAGAGGAATGATACAAGTTAACTTATATTTTCAAAAATCACTCTGACTATTAAATACAGAATGATTTAAAGAGAGGCAATAGGGGAAGCAGGGATATATGTCAGTGTTGGTGGTCTGTCACCCCAGTCTACTCTGGTAGGGTCTTGCTTCTGTTTCTGTCTTTTTTGAAGTGTTTTGTTTCCTTATGACTTTCACGTATCTTTCATTATCTATATTTAGTGTACCTAACACACTTAATACATTCTTCTGCCACTTAAAAAATTAGTTTAACATTTCATTGTAGTTGCTAAAAAAAGAAATGGGAGATAAAACAAATGCATGTTTAATTTGACTGACCCTATTCATGCCCCATGATTCCTAGGGATCTGATAATTTAAGAAGCGCATGTTGTTGTATTACACCAGGCATTTGCATATACCAAATTTATTGAATATTCTCCTGTGCGATGTCTACTGTGCCAAGTACAGAGAGTATACAAAAATGAGCAAGACAAGGAGATTTAAGTCTAATTGAGGACATTAAACTTGTGCTCAAACCAATCAAGAAATATTTATTTAAATCAACCTGGGTATCAGGTACTTTTCAATTTATACCTGGGACTTTAAGAAGTAGGAGTAATCAATTTTATCGAGATGCTCAGGAAAACCTTTATAGAGAAGAAAATGCTTAAGTTGTCTTTAAAAGATAAAATAGTATTCCCCTATTGAAAGAAGGGTAGGATATTCTAGGTTACGTAAGTAGAAATATCATAATATGGAATATCATGTACAATGTTATTTATTTAATTCTCACAACTGTAATATTTAATTCTTTTTGTGGGGCAAAGAATTAAACTCAATTTTTTCAAATGCAAGAAAATTGAGACTTAGTTAAGTTTCCCAAAGAGTCATACTAGTCAGTGACAGAGGAAAAAGTCATCCTTGGTTACCTGATTTAAAAATCTATTTCCTGTCAAGATGCAATTGTCTTCCTTGTTTTGAATGATAATCTCTTCTAAACTTCTGAACATGTTTCAATGTTCTGTAGCAGCTGCATTCTTGGTGAGGCTCTAGTGAAGGAACTCCACACTGGTGTTCTATGATATTCATGAGCTTTACACTGAATGGGTCGATACTGTTTGGAAAACTCCATCACAGTGGCCCAGTATTTATTGTGCTTTTCTAATTAGGTAAGTTACTGTGAAAGTATGCCCCAAACCTGCAGGCAGAAAGTTGTCCAGTGAAGGGTATTCATTTGAGTTCCATTGACTGAGACATTTTCATTAAAAAAAAAAAAAAGTTTGTATGTGTTTTTTTAAGTACTCTATAACACGAGAGCCTTTTGTGGTAATGAGACCCAGATTTCCTTCTGTGTCTGTATCCCTTTATGCAGGCATGATTTCTTGGAAAGGAGAGTCCATATGTCAAACAGTGTCTCATTCAGAACATGGAATCATTCCATAGATGCTGTGGCAGTGATTAGAGTCTTAAATATTTTGTCCTGTCTGGATCAGTGGGTGCTTGGTTCCTTAACAAATCAGCTGCCTCAGTGATTGGGAAGGCAGGATGGTAAGAGCTTTTAGATCACTTACTGTACTTGGATGCTTTTGAATATTAATAGTTTATCCAACTTATAAGTCAAAGGAACATTTGAATTATTTTATAATGTCATGGCTATTATGTGTTTGTGGAATTTATTATGAAAATTACAAAAAAGCTGCGACTCTATCTCTGCATTTAAAAAGCAAATCAGAAATTATTTTTATGAGGAAACTACAGATTTTAGAGGAAACTACAGGTTTTAGATTTTTTTTAAGATCCCTCACACATTGTTTTAATCAGCATCTTATTCACATACCTGAATCTTGCAGTTTATTCGTGTTCCTCCCTGAACCTTTTCACACCCCCTTCAACTTTGTCTCACTAACAAAACTATCATCTATGACCTTTGCAACCTCCAGAGTAGCATAAGGCACACAAACCTCTGCTCTGCATTAGGTGTTAGGGACGTCATTAATGCTTACTGGAAAAGCACACCCCAGAGAGCCAGGTTTTGGCTTTGGCAGGTAAAAAGTCTTTTAGATCTTGGAATGCTGGAAACCTTAAACCTTTTGGTTTTTTAGTTAAAGTGATTGGCAACAGAATGTGACATCTGAGGTTTCGTGGCCAGCAATAGCCATAATTAACCACATGAGCTCACATTTTCCCACTGGAGGTTCAGTGGTCTTGGGGTGATGAAAGTAACTTCCCTACTAGGAGGTGGTTTTCCTTTTGAGGGTATTGGAATACCCTTGGGTCCTGTAATGCCGCACCCGTGGTCCTTTTAAAATGCTTTTTAATATAAAGCTTCAATATTGGAAATTCAACACCATGGTGTTTAACAGTGATGCTATGACTGAGCACTGTGCCCCAACATGGGGAACAACCTAGAAGTTTTAAGAGGTGGAGCGAGGAGTCCTGTGGTGAGTGTAAATAACCGGAATCGAAGTTGATTTGATCCAATTTTCAATTTTTGCTATTTCTGTTTGGTTTTTGATTTGCATGTGTAGGTTTCTTTTAGAGATACCTTTTTATGTTTAAATTTAAGCAGAACTGTTTTGATCGTTGATAGGAGGTGATGTTGAAAGACCATTTTTTGTCCTTTTAATACATATTTGGATATAGTCTCAAAATATGCAATATAAATCTTTTACTCCTTTAGTAATATGGAAAAATGCAGATGCTTGAGTTTTTAGCATTGGAGAAATTATTTTACATTCATAGTTTGCATTTGAAGCCTATTTAAGAGATCTGCTTTTGCTACTTTTAGAAAGTTTCTAAATCCTGTTCTTTATCGGGTCTTATAGGAAAGGAAAAGCTTAGTGTAAAGTCCATACAGGAAAGTTTAAGCTTAGCCTAGTATTATCCTTTGTTACTGTAAGTCTTCTTCTTCTTCTTCCTCTTTTCAAAAGAAGTTTTGTAAAAACAATATTTCAAATTCAATAAACCTTTTTTCTTGTAGCAACCTCTCATGGAATTCATAATGCCAGCTGTGACTCCTGGGGTAGACAAAGGGGGACAGAAGTGTAGATGCAGTTCTCCCTCTTACTCCATCACTCATGGTTTTATCTCTATATATGATTTTGGCTTACCACTTGGTTCTCATTTTTCTCACTTCTAAATTGAATACACCAGACTCAGTGATTCCTAAGGTTTCTCCTACCTCTCCTATATGATTAAGTTGTAATGTGATGACTTTAAATTGCAATGTAATTTTAGTTTCTAAAGTAGACATACAGAAACTTGGGTAGAATATTTCAGAAGTCAAGTGCCGTGGTGCTCAAGGTCCTTGGGTGGGACTTAGTAAGAGGAGGTGGTCACTAAAAATGATTTCAGTCAGACATTACTCAGTCATCACTTGAAATGAATGTTAACTTTTCAACACTTTGATTTGAGAAAACATCAAACATGAGTTGAGAGACATATTCTTTAATTAAATCTATGCAAGTCACTGAGGACTCAGACTTTGTTTGTTGCCCTTACTACAAAAGTTTGAAGAAATTGACATGGTACATGTGTGTCTCATGCTTGGTATGTTCTAGGCTCTGACATTTAAGAAATTGGTATATAACCCATAATAAGGTTCTAAAAAAGTATGGTAGGTTGCTTTAGGACAGACATTGTTGTCAGTCCAGCCTGTTACTATGTTACTTGGGATGGATTCTTTAACTACTTTGAGCTTTAGTTTCTTTTTTATTTTTTTAATTTAGTTTATCTTCCTACATCATTGTTAATTTTTGAGTTTGTTTCTTAACCTGTAAAATGAATTAAGTGGAATTTGAAAGATGACCAGTTTACTAATTGTTGATGAATGATGATTGTCATAAATAAATTACTGTGGTCAATTGCTGATGGAAGAAAAGTATTCAAAAAGTTACCTATTTTTATAGTATAATCTGCTGTGGTATTCCAGGGTAATAAATTCACTGAGCTATAGATGACTGTTGTGGCTGTCCTTTAATAAGAAGCTAGTGCTTAAATAACTATAAATATGAAAAATATTACTCATAATTGACATTATGGTACCTTTAGAAGTCAGGAAATACGCAAACCAAGGTTATCTTAGTCATTTTAGTCTTTCTCTAGCCAGAGTTATTCCAGTTACATATTAAGTCTTAACGGTGTGGGTGTGGGTGGGGGGAGGGTGTTCATTCGTTTTTTGTGAACTTTTTCAAGTGTTTTAAGAGCACTGTATACCAAGCAGTTACTTTTTTCCTTCCTCCTAAGACAAATTTAAAACCTTTTGTTTTATTAGTCTCAGTTCTGAGTTACCTGAGTGAGGATTTATCACTTGATAGGTAGCCCCAGAAATCTTGATGGTGATTTAAAAATATACTTATCTGTGACTTCTTAAAAGATAGATACTTATGTTTGTACATTTTTTCTAATGGTTAGTTGCACTTGAATTGCATAAATAGGTTTTGTATTAACAGTGTGGTTTTGGACTTATGTTTTTACTGTTTAAAATATCTCCCCCTTTTCTTCTCTCAAACTTCATAGACTTATTTACACAACACTTATTTTTATGAATATTGAGAACATACCCCATAAATATATATTATGCTATTTCATTTCACTTTAAAATTAATAGTATTGTATAGTAGTAAGAAAATACAACTGTATTTGCTTATAAAGTTGCTAATAAATAAAATGTATATTGCTTATATAATGTACATTATGTTTGAACCTCTATCACGTTGTGTAATAGATCACTGAAGAAGTTTTTCTGCCTTTAAAAATGCTGAGAAAGAATGTAATGGATATTTGAGGACACTGAGAACTCTTTATATATAAACCCTCATACATACATACATATATATCAGATGTTAATCTCATCAAATTAATTATTGGGAAATAGTTTCACATATAGCAGTTGAAATTGCAAGTCAACATATGTTTATATGTTTAGATTTGAATGAAGTGCATAATTTTTATAAACAGTTTTTATAAAATCTCCTTTGAAATTGCTTTATTATGATCTCATAGCTACATTTGTAAGGTAAATAGTTGTTTTCTTTTTCTCTGCTTTTGAATTCACAGCAAAAGATGATGGAAGCATTGCTGTTGCCCTTGGTTATACTGCACATTTGGTCTCCATGATTTCCTTTTTCCTACAAGTGCCCCTCAGATATCCTATAATTCACAAGGGATCAAGATCAACAATCAAAGATAATATCAATGACAAACTGACTGAAAAGGAGAGAGAGTATGTATCTTTTTTTATACTTTTGATATCAATTCAGTTTTGAAACATGGAATACACCAAAAATATAAAATGTGGTTTAGATCTTGGTAAATTTTGTATATCTTTTATAAAGTCCTCCATTTCTTTTAAATAGGATGTACTCATTCATTTAATTTGTAATGGTTCAACTTCTGCACTTCTTAAAATCACTAATAGTAGCAAAATTCACCCATTTAAGTTTAATTTGCTTTGTGAGGACAAGTATCATATACTTTGCAAATACTCATGTAGTATTTGTGAATGAGTGAAATGGTTAAAGATTCATTAAGAGAGACAGCAGCAGATTGTACATATCACTGAAAGAGCAGATCAGACATTGTTTACTTTATTCCTAAATGTGTCAACTTTGACGGAGCTTTTACAGGGTTTTAGATGGAATCAGATCTTTATGGGAGATGAAAAATAAGAATTGCACTACTCGTTTGGCAAATTATACTTAATGTAATAGCCTTATGAATTCTCAGCCCCTGCCCTCTGATTAGCTGCCTCATGTGGCTACTGGCATGTGAAATTAAAATTAGAGTTCAAAGCCCTATTTAGCTGGTTTTGTTGGGGAGAAGGGGCGAAATCTAGTTCTTTCTTTTGACCTATTAGAAACATGGGTCAGGACTGATACCTTGACTAGACCATTACTTGTGCACCTGCAGTCTGTAAAGGGAAACTGAAATCTTCACTGGATTTTGAGTCTTAGACCCAAAACACAAAGAAATGTAACCAGAGTTCAGCTGCAGTGTTTCCACCCTCCCCCCCAACCCTCCTTTATTTCTTCTTTCACTAAAACCCACTGAGAAGTGGGTTTTAAAATGATTTTTTTGAAATAAAATATATTAGTCATCGTTATTTGTGCTTCCTGACTGTCTGTTGGATAATACATTCAGATTAGTGAAGCAATAATTAAGCTAGTCAGAACATATGGCTTTTCATGTCCTCAACAGATAGCTGAAAGTTTTTGTTTTAATCTTAGATGAAAAATTGGGAGTGATGTAATTGGCAGGCAATTTGAAAACCTGCTGGCAAGGCTTTTACAGATCTCACGAAAGTGGTCAGCTATTTTTCTACAGTAGAATTATTGAAACCTAGAGAAATGTTAGTGCTGCTTTTTCCATTTCCTTGATTTTTTTTTGTACACTGTTCATTCCTTGAATAAAACCCCAAGAATTGCCTTTTTTTAAACTGGATTTCAGAGACAGAAATTCTAGAGTACAAAGAAATTGTGTTGTGTCCAAAATCAGACAGTATTGGGCACAGATCATAGTCATGGCACATGGATCTGAAAAATGAAATGATCCATTTTAATGATCCTCCATCTTTTTCCTGTGATTGGGTACCTGGAGCAGTTGTACATACTTGTCCATACAGAAAGGGTGTGACTTGAGTCTTTTTTATTTCTTGCAGCCACCTTGGCATATCTAAAGGTTTATGGAGCTTCTCCTTTAGCATAACTAGTTTTCATTTTGCCATGGGGGAGGAGAAAAAGAAATTTACTGAGTGGCAGTGAGCAGACTGGTTCCATATCCATATTTTCTTGGCCCTTCTTAATTGGCAACCCTGATTTGTTGAATAAGTGGATGAGGTTTTTTTTTTTTTTCCTAATGGTGTCTCCTTGAAGTAATTAGAATACCTTCAACTGTAGTGATGTAAGTAGCAACTTTTTGGTAGAAATAATTACTAGAACTGAGATGTCATTTGTATAAAGCTTACATTGAAAACATAGATGTTTTCAGATTATTCTAGTTTCATACTGCTATAATTCTGACTTCTTATTTCTGTTATTATGTATTCCAGGCATACTTAAACACCTGTTGACAACATATTATATTAAGAATTATAGATTCTTTCCTATAAAAATTCTCAGCTTGTTTATTTTGCAGAGAGTTCAGAAATAGTTGCTGTTTCCACTAAATTAGCATCTGTTTGCTTTCATGGTATCTAATTAAATCTGATGACCTCCTTTCAGAAATGAGGGATTTTCATAACGTGTATAGGCTTAAGTGCTGTGGCTTTAATTTCCAACTCTTCTGCTGTTTATACTATAAATTAGAGCATTTTTTATAACCTTTCATCTTCATTTTATTATAGGTTGTTTCTCAGATACTGGCATTTAGAGTACCTAGCCACCCAGACCTCAGACCTTTAAGTTGAACAATGAGTTGTGATGACTTGAGGCAGTGGGGAAGGGCAGACCAAACGCTTTGGCTTTCTTTTCTTTTGTTGTTGTGCATCTTAAAATATAATCAAACAAGTATTTTTCAGGATGACTAATATTACTGAAATGAATGAAAGTATTAGTTCTTTCACATTTCCATTTGGTTATAGTAATGTGTCCTAAGTTAAAAAAATCTCAAAAAAAATTTTTTCTGTGAAAATGTTTCCAAATGTCTGTAGTCCAACTCTGATATAAGGGTACCTAAGGATGCACCATGGAATAAAATGAAGCTTTAAGAAAAGTGTTCATGTCTATGCAAAATTTCAGACTTACTGTGTTTTAGAACAAGACAGATTATTAGTAGGTTGTATGATTCAACTCTTCATTTTACAAATGGAGAAGCAGATTGAAAGATAAAATGAGGTCACACAGCAAGTTGCCTAAGTCACTTTGATATAGCCCACTAAGGAGAGCAACCCAGATGTTCTGTTGAGTATAATACTTTTAAGCAAGCATATGGGAGATGAAAGTTTGTTTACTTAAATGAGTCTATGTGTGACACTGTATTATCCCTTTTCCTGACGTAAGGAAAGACCCCTGGTGAAAAGTGTCATAATGTAAATTCCTGTGCAATCACCATTTTAAGTTCTCACTAAAAATGTTAATTTAAGTCTTATTTATCAGTTGTTTCTAAGAGGTACAACACAAAAGTACCTCTCTTTTCTTCTCTCTTGCCTTAACGTACTTAAACTTGGTGGAGTTCATTTGTTTTTGGTTTTTGTTTCCAATTATTTAAATCATTTGAATCTTGTCAGCTTCACCTCTTACCAGTGGCTATGGAAATGACCTGAGTCACAGTTTTCCTGGTGTAATACCTTAAGTCATTAGGTTACTCTGAGGATTAAATGAAACATAGTGCTTAGCTCATAGACGATGCTGAACAAAATTTTGCAAATACTATTATGTATATATTGAGCTTTGCAATACAAATTCCAGGCAGCCATATAAATTATTACTAATTCTTGCTAAAAGGAAGAGTAGACCTTAGAAATGGTTAAGGAATATTCAAAGTGCAACCACTGGCATGCTACTAGGTTTCCTTTTGTAATAGTGCCATGAGGTACTTTGTCTTAGTGGTATAAATGTGTAGGACTAATGGAACTTCCCAGAATGCAAGGAGAAAAACTGGTCTAAAGCTTGTCTCTTTTATTTCAACTACTCAGTTATCTGTTACCTATTAATAAGTAAAACAAGTATCTGTATTTTGGAAATAATGGTTAGTGAATGCAGAAGCTCTTATTCTTCAAAGGAGTATAGAAAATGTTCAAACTAAAGAGTTCCCAGCCTGGCCCACTACTTGCTTTTTTAGTCTTATCCCAGGCCCCCTCAGTCCATAGCCTATGCTTTCAGCCAAGCTCTTGTTTTCTAGACACATCACATTATTTCCTACCTTGATACTCTGCCCATGCTATTCTGCTTATCAGAATAGCAGAAGGCCAGATGGCTGGCCTTCCCCAACCATATCTCTAGGATCAAAATTGTGGTTGGACATAAAGACCTTCCCTTCCTTATAGTCTGAAACTTTCCTTGTAAATTCTTGATTTCTCATGGTTTGGTGTACTCTCATTCATAGCCTTTATGATCCTATGAACAATTTTTTTTTAGGTAGTACCTCAGAAATAAAGTGCATTTAAATATACTCTCATTTCATCTTAACAAAACCCAGTGATGTGGAGGTGTATTAGAGTTATTTGTTTTACTCATGTCTGAAATATTTTGATTGTAGAAATTGCATCACTCAGAATTAAGCTTACTCCATTGCCTTACAGAGAGCCTTGTATTGTGTAGACACTCAATAAATATTTCTGGAATTGAATAGAAGAGCAAAAGGGATGCTCAGTTTTTGCAAATGCTATTAGGTAATCTGACACTCCAGACTTGAGTCCATAGTTTTAACTCTAGATACTCTGGCCAGGACAATCATTATTTCACGCAGTCCCTTAGGACCAGGGCAAGCTATTAACGTCTATGCCTGTTGTAATGTAAGGCACAGGCAACAGTGCTGATGGGGTGTCCAGGAGTGAGAGCAAAGAGCATGTTTTAAAATGAGGAATCCCCACGGAAATTCAGGCAAGAGAGATCAACAAAATAAAAATGCAGAAGGTGGTTGCTGGGTGAGACAGGAAATGAACACCTTGTGAAGATTAGGCATTCCACTGAGAGAGGGGAAATGTGGAAAGTGAGTCCAAAGTAATTGGGCAACTATTTCATTGCTGACACTTGGAAGCATATTGTTGTGTGTGTTTTTAATGAAGTGTGCTTTTATAGTGCTGATGTTATTATCTGAATGAGGAAGTCTTCTCTGGTATTATTGTCATCTCAGCTTTCTGCAACCAACTAAATTAAAATACAGTAATGTAATGGGACAGTGGGATAAGAAAGAAAACCAGATGACTCTGACATGTGACCCCAATTTGAACTTACTGCTTTTCTGGCTTGCAATACTCAAATCAGAATAGAGACTCAGTGTAATGCTTGGGATGGGGTGGAGGAAAAATATATTTAGTTAATAGTGTGTTTTTATGGGTTAAATATTGCTACAATTTTAGAATATGTGAGATCAGTGTTTCTCAGCTTGAGGTCCCAAGAGCATCACTGAGCTTTCCAGGTAGTCCACAGACAAGCATTTTGCAGCCTTGAATACATATCACATGACCAGCATACATGCTTTGGGTTCTGATGTGAATTAATATTTGCTTTAATAAATATGACTTTATATGTTGAAAGGAGCACCATTTTTCTTTCAATGTTTGAT